TCATGATGTTTGGTGAGTGATAATAAAGTGTTGCAAGGAATACCAAACTTGGCTGTTGAAAAGATTATATCATAATTTGGATGAACAGCAAACGGAACTCGATATCTTCGCCGTGTATTATAATTTGATTCTCCCAGAAAATTCAAGAGGCATTAGTGTCCTGAATAGGCTTCAACATTCGAATGATGACCATACATAAATCTGCCTTCATAATATTCTTCATGGATAATACCGCGAAACCTACTCCAATAAGAGAAGAATACAAGTTGTAACATGGAATTTCAAGAATGGTGAAAAATTATGAGACACCCTAATATTTACTAAATGCATATTTTTTATTGTTATAGTTTTTTTAGCCATGGCTGATTATTTAATAGACGTATAGTCTCTAGTCGTAAAACATCGAGATGAATTATATACACCAGTTTTACTTTGTTAGGATTTGAGTTAGTAGCTAATGGATATAAATGCGATGCTAATAGCTTAGTCTACACAAATAGGGACTAGTTTAAGCAGTCTTACTTGACCTTATCTAAATGCAAAACTCATTTGAACAGTGCTTTGAACTTCAAGGAATCACAATTCTACCCAATTGCAGCGGATTTTTCCAAAATCATTATAAAATAAAGATAATCCTTGGGTTTTATGATAGTGATCGAAGCAAATTTGCTCATATCGTATGCTCGTCAAAAATGAATGCTTGTTAGGTTGGCTAAAAATGAGTTCGTTTTGGCATGCAAATCTTCATGAAAATGTTCTTGTCTTCTGACCATCATTTCTTGTGATAAAGTAAATCAAAGCTTTTTCTATCACATGTCAAAAACAGAATATTTTATCATCAATAAAGACACTTATGCCTCAATATGGCTAAATTTTTAAAAGCTCATTTAACTAACTTCCTAAACTTCGGTCTCTTGCTTTAATGCATCAAAGAACAGCAGTCCGGTATTCGGATACAAAGAAGTTTTCCCTATTTGGTGAAGAACAATGGAAATTGCGACGTGCTACTATGAAAATCTTTTATAAAAAAACCAATCGAAATTCTTCATATTTGCACACTATGAGAAGATTGGGATTTCTCAATTCTTCGCGGATTTTTTTCTGTGGGATCCTCATCTAGAAATCGAGAAAAAAAGAATTTTTATGTTTAGACAAAAACGAAGCAATGCCGTCAGGGCCCGGCACAGATCGTCTGGAAGCAGGCTGGACTTCGTTTTTGAAGCAAACAGCAAAAGGGATATCGTTTTTGACGAGTCGGAACCGAGCACCAAATAAGCGCCATTTAGTCGAACACAAGCATTTCAGACAGGTTATCACACGATTGACATGCTCTCTCGTGTATAGCGAAAAGTGCGCGCGATTTAAAAGCAAGGCTTAAATAAACAAATTGCTTGTTTACAGCGTACACAGAAGCATATGACACCAAAATTGAACTGTATGTATAGAAAATTATTTGCGAAAGTATTATGTAAAAAGATTTGAAAACTTATGTGAAGTAATACCTTTTCCAAAATTAGACCGTCTCCAGACGGCCACCAGACGATCTGAGATCGTCTGGAGCATATATTTTCGTCACTTCACATAAGTTTCGGATCTTTTCAGCATGGACGGATTCCTCGGTCAAAAATCTATCCCTGAGCATAAAGCCATTTTCATATCATTGCCTTTCCTTTGTTTTTTGCCTTCATTTCTTCTCGCTTTGTTAAATATCGCGCTCTAATGCCAAAGTCTTGTGCATGCGTAGTATTCAGCTCCAATATGGATCTTCACTCCTAATCTTACGTCTTTTCTTTCAGACTATTAAGTCTTTCTTATTTTCATCTTCTCCCAAGCAAGTAGGTCAAAGGGGACTTCGTAAAACTTCCGAAAGTCAGGGGAGACTTCGTTTTCAGAAACCCTAGAAACCGACTCCTGCCGGGCCCTGAATGCCGTTTCCTCTTATGTAAATGTATACTACAAGCTCTTAGGAGTACAACCGTAAATTTTCAGTTTTCCACAAGCCCTAATTTTTAAAAATTACCTAGGTTAGCTCTCCTCGCTTGAGTGTTTCATGCTAAAATCAATATTTCTCGAAAACTAGAGCTTGCAGAAAGTTCGCGGTTATCCTCTTAAGGGGTGTGGTACACAATAACATGAGTGGAAACCTAGGTTGGTTTTTGTATAAACATAAAAACTTTCGTTTTTCTAAGTTTGAATGAGGAAAAAATCTAGGAACGGTACATATGAGTGTCTGATGTGGTGTGCGATTTTTATGAGCAAGTAGGAGATTCGTAGGATTTTTTTTAAACAAAATATGAATTTTTCGCGATTTTTTTTGTGCTCTAGTACGACTCAGATTTTGGATGCAAACTTACAGTGGGTCGAATTTGCTCTATCGTGTCTCTATTGGATGTACATGCATTAGGTGCTCTAGCCTGAAAATGCCCGAGAACTTTCGAGCTACCTATTAACTCGAGGCGTTCTGGAACTAGTGCAAATTAATAGGATCCAAAGCTTGAAAAATGCGGATGCTCAAAAGATTTAAAAGTACTTATATCTTCGTTCAAGGAAAACTTACCGGATCTCCTAGTTGTTTTTATATAGTCACTGTGTACTACAACCTTTTAGAGGTGGGTGCCAGTTTTCGAAAAATATCGAATTAAGCTTTTCTCGCAAGGCACTTGTGTGAGAGTCAATTTTTCTCGTGAACTAGCGCTTCTAGAAAGCTGAAAATCTACCACTTCTAAAATTTCTAGGTATACATTTTTTGAAAACAGCACGGCATCGGTTTTGAAAATAAAAAGAAAACTTTAGTTCTCTCGGTTTCAGTAAAACGAGTAAGAAATCCGGTAAGTTTTTTTTGAACAAAGATATAAACGTTATTCAGTTTTCGGGCATCCGAAACTTCTCAGACCGCTTCTAACCGCTGCTGAAACTGGTGCAAGCTTTTCACAGTCTCATAAAGCTTGCTTTGCTCTGTTGAATGACACCACACATCTTAATTAGGATTGAAAAGCATACGACTGATTGCGGTAAAGAGACAAATTTCAAAAAAATTTTTGAGACAACCCAATGATTTGGTATGCGCATGTTTCTCGACATTTAGCCATGGAAAAATGCGCAAGTTTACTGACAAATACAAGACGTTGAGAGTGTATGCTTGAGCAAGTAAGAAGTTGTAGGGTTTTTGGATGGAGATGCGATTTTTTCTCGCGCGTTCGGGAATTTGGATCTTTATAGGTTTCGCCTTCAAACTTTAAAAGCAAACTTCGAGCCAGTATTGAGGTACCATCTTGTAGAGCTTGTTTTGCTCTATCAAACATATTGCTCTATTAGATACGCAATACCTGCCATAAAATGGAATCTGAGTTAGTGCAGGAGAATGTGAAAATGGTAAAAATTCATTAAAAATCCTATTAAAAGAGCCCAAATTCTCGATTTTCATGTTTTTGTCGTTTCGGGGCCTTCTCATGTCACTAATTCCGAATATCAAATCGAGAATCCGTGGAAATCTTAAAAATCGACACCCGTTCCGCAAAACCCGCAAGGCGAGCTCTCCGGAATGGTGAGTGGTTAGATGCGCACCGATAGGCAGGACGAACGCAAGGCCACCTAAAAACGAGGAGCACGTGACAAATCCGTCATCCGAAACGATTTTCGAAGCAATTTTCTTGCTTTGGAAGCCATTTTTGGCAGCACGAGCCGAGCCGGTATACAATTGGGGTTCCGCTGCTGTTAGGCATCAACTCGTCGAACTCATTTCGAGTGGACGGTGTCTTTGGAAAAGGTTCACCTATTTTATTTAACAGAAAGTGACTGTCAAGTTCGCTAGAACAACAATGTTATCAATGAAACTTCAAAGTTGACAATGCTTATGTACCGTATTAAGGTGTTTGAAAATAAGTTGGCGGAATAATGGAAGGGTGAAAAGCGAAAACACCGCACTGCAAAATTGTAAGATTTGGGCCTTTTGAGATTTTAAAAAAATTATTTATACATATAATAAGCTGTCTCATAGCATGTAGACTACAAAACAGACATAGCAACTCAAGCCACTTGCGAGAGAATGAAAGACTATCTCCTTTATTTAAAATGTGGATTTATGACCTATCACTGTGAGAAGTGAGAGTGTCTCAAGAGTTATGTTACAACGTAATAATATAAGAGGAAATGACTCACTCTGGTAAATCTACTCATAGGATAACCTACCATTCCTGCTGACGTCATGCCCTAAAACCAACGCAAGATTTTTTGTAGCATGACCAATAAGTAGTGGCGAGCATTTTTGGTTTCGTCCACATCAAAATTGAAGACAAAGTTTTGGCAGTGAAGAGACCTGATATAGCTAAGAAGTTCGATTTTCTGCTGTCGCTGTCAGGAGGTGCTGTACCGGTAGAAAATGGCCACCCTGAAACAGACAGTAATGTAAGGCTAGATATTAGTGATACATGGATTCCATTTTACAGATTCGGGTATTTTGATAACGTTGGCATTCAATTTTATATGTGTTGAGCTGCCTGTTAAGGCCAATAGATTCTTTTATGCGTGTTAATCCTTCAATCTTTTGCAAATAGCATCAACGGCCATGTCTGTTTCGGAATACAAAGTAGCACTACATGCATATCAGTAGAAGGCACCTTAAATCATCTAACGATAATCATAATCATAAAACTCTATTAGCTCAATCTAACCATACTGCATTGCGACTGCGACTTTTTAGCTTCCCTTTCAGCAGCTCTCTCAAGCAAAACTCGTTTCAAAACTTCTTAAACGCTGTTTTAGCGTTGGGAATCCCTCAGAATTTCACTGACATGCTTTTTGTTGTTTGAGGTTGCCACCCTCCAATGCTACAAAGAGTAGGTGAGCCCCTCCTGCAAATATGTGAAAACATTAAAAGCATGAAACTTCCCAACAGCGTAAGGGCATTGTGACTCTTCTCTCGTCATGCCAAGTTGTCTCGTAGATACGTAAAGTAATTAATAAGTTTTTCCAAAGAATTCGTGTTACGTTATCTTCTCTGCAGGTACATCCATTTGCAGTGAAAAGGATGAAGCTTTCGCTGCTAGTTATTCTTCTCGGAATGTTTGACGTAGCGTTGTCATTGTCAAAGGAAGAGAAAGCGAAGAGGAAAATGTAAGACATAATTAGATTTAGGGCCGCACGTACTAACATTTCCGCTGGGGAGGGGATAGGGGATCGCAGCTTCAGAAGAAAGCTTCATATCCTGAAGCTTCGGATATCTGGATTTCACGCTGTCTACCTGTCCTTAAGTATTCCCACCATCCTTTACTATGAACATGAGCAGAAGCGAGAAGCTGTACAAGCCGCATTTCCCAGGTTTTTGTAGGATCCCCTGATGTGGACGAACATCTAATCTTCAAAGACATTTTTCTTTCTCCAAAGTTAACAAAAACCTTCCAAAGCTATACTCAACATCTAACACAACAGTGCTAAGCATGTAGCTGATGAGAACAAATGAATTTTTGAAAGATCGAATTTTTCGGTGTACCCCAAATTTCGACCTGTGAATCATCGAAAATTTCATGACTTCAAAACACCATTTGTTCCTATCAGCAACAAGCTTAGCACTGTTGGGTTAGATAATCTGCACACTTTTGGAAGTTCTTCGCTAACCTCGGAGGAAGAAAAATGACTCTAAAGAAAAGCGCCGGAGATCATCAGGGATTATACAAAAGCTGGAAAATGCGGTTTGTACAGCTTCTCGCTCCTGTTCAACATGTTCATAGTGAAGGATAGTAGGAATACTTACGGATAGGTACACAACGTGAAATCCAAGTCTCTGGAGTTTCGAAATATGAAGCTTTCTTTTGAGCTGCGATCCCCTTTCCGCGGCCATGTTAGTGCATGGGGCCCTTACTATGCCATCCACAAAACAGCACTTTTTTAAGATTATGCAAACATTGCTGGATCTGCGATGAAGAGTCATGCCGCGCATTCGTTACGCTATATGACACGATTTATGATGAAATGAAAAAGAAATACAACATGAGATTCTCGCCTTTCAAAACTAAGGAGGAGTGCGTCAAAGTATGCAATAAGGAAGCGTGAAGCTGCAACACATCACTACCAACGTCTCAAATACCTTTGACAACCCTCTGGTAGTTTTATTTGAATAAATAATCATTGATTTTTCCATTCACAGTCATTTGTTCTCGTTGGAATCAAAGTTCAGCGTTACTTTTCAAATATCAAAGTACTTACATTTGAGCTGAGATGTCGAGGAAGAGATTACATCATAAACTTGCCCAGCACACCGCCCTCTGCCCTGTCTGTCAATATATTATGCTATGACGGGTATTACCATACCCTTTTCCCGTACAATACTTCCCTATCACGGTCCCACTCCTACATGCCGATTCTCTGCTTCCACTATGGCTACGCTTTTATGATCAGTATTCTCGTTACCTCCTTCCCCCAGGGCCAAAATCTAACCCCGTGGCCCATCAAAAAATCGATAATGTGAAAACAAATACTATGAAAATAATATCAAAATTAACATATTTACTTCACGCCGGTTAAGGCTTTCTACGCGGCTTAGCGAATTGCCAGATTACTACAGATTAACCGTCGCGCATCCCAAACGTAAAGGCACGTAGCTTTTGCAAGTTGACGTAAACTCATGAAGTCTGGCCCAGGCAAAGCGAGTTTACGATCAATTATGAACAGTCAATGCAGTGCCGAACCGCGCAGCGACCGAAATCGCGTGAGGTTTACTTTAGGCCCCAGGCACACGAAATTTCAGTCGCGCCGCGACTCGGCAATACTCCAGTCGCTTATAACTCCTCGCAAACTCAATTTAAGCACACGAAAAATAGCCTACTTTACGCCAAAAGTTGCATGCGCCAAACAGTTGTGGTCTGCAAGTGTTGGGTTTGAAGAGATCTGGCAAATGGCCAAATGGCTTAGCGACTGATTGCGAGAGGTATTCTTATGGCCTTGGACCTAACGTCCAGTCCATCTCCTCATTCCGTTAGGCCAATCCGTTGCGAATATGAAAAAATGTATAAGCACTCTGCAAATATGTTCAAATAACCATTTCAAGTCTTACTTAGGATAACGTAAGTTCCTAATATGCAGTATTTAATCGATACCCGTTTGCGGTGATTCGCAGTCAAAGCAAAGATTTCAGTGGAGTTTTCAAATCAACTATCCTTCACAACGAATGTATACAAAGCGACTGACTATTATGTATGCTTTATGCACTAAGGTTTGTTGAAGATTTTTCGCCAATCCAGAGACAGCGAATTGCATCAAGCAAGTGGCGATTTTATAAACACTGTACTAAGCTAATACGCACTTTCGGGGCTCCTCGGATTCTGCACGAAAGCCCTTTGCTCTTTACCTCAAGAATGGTATGCAGCCTATTTGTAAGCCAGCTTTTCCGAGCACTGATTTGTACATATGTCTAAAGTTGGCCTTACACCTGTTGTCAAATGCGTACCATCTGATAAATTGCCATTAACGATTTATATGCAAGTAATCGATTTCTTAAAGTGCAACCTATAGGCTGCTTCCGTATAGTTCTGTGCCTTCCAAGTAGAAGAAATCTTATCTCCCCCTAAAATCCACACGGCTTCTTACTGCTCATGCATATGCTCTCTACTTCTCGTATTTATCGGTAAATTTTCGTATTTCTTCCATGGCTAGATGTCGAAAAACATACGTAAAACCCAAAACATTAGGTTGTCTCAAAAGTTTTTTTTTTGAATTTTGTCTTTTCACCGGTATAAATCATATACTTCTCAACATCAATTAGGTGTATGGTGTCTTTCAACAGGGCAAAGCAAACTCTATAAGACGGCATGTGTTTGCACCGGCTTTAGCACATCACGAGTTAGAGCCCAAAATTTGGATTTTTCGGAGGCGCGAAAAAATTGGAAAGCATTTATATCTTTGTGTGAGGAAAACTTACAGAATTCCCAGTTGCTTGTGCATACGTTCCACATAACACATTCATCTTGCCATTGCTGCAATTGTTTCTGCGTTAAAACAACTAAAGGTTTCAATCTTTCGAAAAAGAGATACTGTGCTTTTTCCACGTGAGCAAATGTATAGTATATTTGAAAGTGCAAAAGCAAATCTCTAGCTTTCTAGAAACACTAGTTACCGAAAAATATCGATTTTCAAACAAAAGACCTTCGGCAAAAAAGCTTAACTCAGTATTATCGAAAATCGACGCTATCGCTAAAGACATGTAGTTCACATTAACTTATGTGGAAACAGCATAGCGTCGCCATCTCGGAAGCTTAAAATTTAGATTTTCTTTTCTAGCACAAAAACAAGTATAACAAGGGCATATATGATATGTGGAATATGCATGAGCAGGGAGATTCGGTAAGGCAACCAATCCTTGAACGGAGATATAAACGCTTTTTAATTTTTCGAGCATCCGCAATTTGTTAGATTTTGGATTCTAACTCGAGGCGCTCTGAGACTGGTGCGAACATTAACGATACTTATAGAGCTCAATTCAAATGTTACCTTATATTCTAACTAGAATCAAAAGGTGCATGACTTATTCGTGAAAAAGCAAAATTGAAAAAAACTCATGAGACAACGTAACGTATTGGTATGCGTGTGTTTCTCGACTTCTAGTCATGAAAAAATACGCAAATTTACCAAGACAAAATGTAGAGAGTATTTGCATGAGCAAGCAAAAAGCTCGTAAGGTTTCTGAAAGGAGATAAGATTTTTTTGCATATTCGCGAATTTGATTTTAGTTTCGTCTTCAAACTTTCTTGAAACAGACTTTGAGCAAATTTTAAGTTAACCTTTGCAGAACCTTTCCTCTGTCGAATGATACCGCAAAACCCATTCAAGGTATAAAGAGAATATGACGCTAAAAAGTTTAGAAAGTTTCGAAACAATGAAAGTAGCTGTGCATTTGACTCATTAGGCTAAGCCGTTTTCGCCGATATCACGCCATAAAAGCGACAAGTCCTTTCTGAACTTCAGGATCCTTTGTTGAACATAGATGTGTATGTTGTCTTCTCTGCAGGTAAAAGATCCATTCGCAGTGAAAAGGATGAAGGTTTTGCTGCTTCTGATACTTCTCAGTACGTATAGCACAACACTGTCAGGGAAACAAGAAGTGAAGGACAGCAGGCTAGAAAAAGAAGTTGACCATATTATGCTAACGCAGGAGAAGCACTTATTTTAGACCCAGCGGGACATTCTATGGTTGCGTTAAAGACAGATGCGCTGTTTTCTGTGGAGGGAGTGCATTATTAGATCGAATTGAAAAGAAATTCAATGTCATAATCACCACGTATAAAACTCTCGAAGATTGCTTCAAAGAATGCAAAAAGCGGTCGTAGTATGGAAAAAAACTGGATTTGCAGTATTTAATCAAGATATTACCAAGACTTCTAGTATTTACAATCTTTCCGCTCGTTGAGATTAGATTTTCCCGTTATGAGTAGATAAATAAAGTGTTGCACGTATACCAAAGTTATCTGTTGAAAAGGGTGAAATCTTAACTCGATCGAAAAGCAAGTGAAACACAAAGGCCGATAACTTCAAACGCAAATCTTTCAGGAAACTTAAAAAGATTAGTTCCTAGGATAGGTTTCAACAATTGAAGGAATGCCTAAATCTGCCTTTACAGTTCTCCTCGTAGATATCATACAATCTCAGACAGTCGAAGGGGTACCTCCGGAGCGAAAATGGGAGGGTCCCGGGCTCTGGCCAGGGGGGGGGGGTTTGCCACTCGTGCTCCGGAGCCCTCCCATTTCACCCATTTTGGTGCTCCGGGGGTCCTCCAAATCTGGCGCACCCCCGAAGCAGAGATCTGCGAGCCCCATGAAGGAGTCCCATTCGCCCTTCTTGTGACGTCACGGTGACTTCACAAGAAGGCGAATGGGACTCCTCCATGGGGCTCGCAAATCTCTGACGTTTTGCTTCGCGAGGAATCCACTCCGATGCTCTTAGTCCATCTGTCGTCTGTTCTTCTCATAATGTGACCGGCCCATCGATGCTTCGCTTTCGCAACGTAATCCGCTGGGTCACGAAGACGGGACATTCTTCTCGTATCCGTACTGCGAAATCCGACAATATGTTGCTTGTGTCGGGTCATCTTTAAAAGGTTACGCTCCAGCGTTCTGTGGGTGGTCCTTCAAGCTTTCGACGTGGCTACGGTGTCGGCCCAAGTCTCAGCTGCGTAGCAGAGCGCTGGGAGAACGGTTGAGTCGAACAGGTGGGCACAGAAATCTGAGTCCGTCAGCTGGACGGTGGCTTCTTTCAGGGCCCAAAGGCGGCCTAGGCTGCTCTCTCCTGTTAAGTTCTTCCCTCAAGTCGTTCCCCATGTTCATCGAAAGTCCGAATTACACATAAAAAAGATGTCTCCTTGATATGGCCTTCCAATTTTATTTCTACATTTTCGCAAAATGCGCTTCTCATAAACTGAGTCTTCTTCTGATCTATTCGCAATCCGATCTTCTTCCCTACTTCGTTCACTTCCTTCAGCACCGTCTCTGCTTTAGTGATAGTGTTTGAGAAGAGAAGAATGTCGTCCGCAAAAGAACGTTGGACAGGAATCTCCCATAAACTCGTTTGCCTCTCTCTTTCAGTCCAGTTACTTCATCACCCACTGCCAGGCCGCGGTCAGCTTTGGCGAAATTGCGTCGCCTTGTCGGACCCCCTTCTTAGGATGGTTAGGGGGCGATGGAATAGCTGCATCGTCGTTGTACAGTCCTTGTAGCAGTCAGCTAATGCTCTTACAGTGTCACGTAAGCTGGGTCCACTCCTTAATCGGTTAACGCTGACAAAATGCGTTCGTTTCGATGTTGTCAAAGGCTTTCTCGTAGTCGGACGAGAGGCGTTGGTGCCCATTGTTCCTACTGGAGAAGTACCACCAAGCATTCTACCAGCTGAAGTGCGTGTAGCGATAAGACCATGAAGACGTCTACAGCTCCAGGACCAGGTCATCTTTCCGTCAAACTTGTGCGAGCCGGAACTGCGAATAGATCGAAAGAAGACTCAGTTCATGAGAAGCGCATTTTGCGAAAATGTAGAAATAAAATTGGAAGACCCTATTATGGAGACGTCTTCTTATGTTAATGCGGATTTTTGATGAACATGGGGAA